CTGATAACCATTGGTACAAAGTATACGTTCCGAATTCACTTTTAACAAGACCTTAGCTGCCAAGCATCCTAAAATGACACAGTATATGGAAGAAGATGATAGAAGATAAAGAATTAAAACACAATATAGTTGTTCGATGCTCGATGAATAACTGCCTAATGTTTCCTTATTCGGAAACGACTAATGTTAACATTACCATTTTTCTGATAATTTATTTTAATAAAAGGATTTTATAAATTTCACCTGACACTAATAGTCACTGTTCGCTCAATTTAAATTTTACCATTAACATTAGCTGAGGAACTTTATTTATGTTGTCATAAGAATGCCTTGTAAATGATTTCACTGTAGAAATGCATTGTAAATGATTTTACCATAAAAATACACTGGGAATGATTTCCCTTCAGGGATTAATATTAGAAAGTTCTATAATAGTAAAATTGAGAAATCTAATTTCCTGAAAAAAAAATTTTAAGTAAAGGATTGTATTAATTTCAAACAACGGTAATTCTAACATTTCAGTCAATGAATGCTGAGTGCTTTCTTTATAGAAAGGTTTATCTCAGCATCAACATCGAATAGAAATTTTCGAATAACTTTATTATTTGAATGCATTATAAATGATTTTACTATTTGAATAAAAGTAGAAAGAACTGTAAAATTTTAGTGAACATATGAAACCTAATTTTCTGACAAACGCTTTTAAGTGAATGTTTTTATAAATTTCAATTGACAGAAACATTAACTGTTCGTTTAAAGAATACTGAATGTTTTCTGTATAGGAGCAGCTAATATTGTCATTCTAACGATTTTACTGTATGAATGCATTGCAAATGATTTTATCCGAGGAATTGATATGAGAAAGAGCTATAAGAGTTAGTGGACGTTTTAAGAAAAAAAATATTTTATAATTTTCAACCAACAGTAATGCTAACATTTCAATTAATGTTATTATGTTGAATGTTTCCTGTATGAAAACAACTAATCTCACCATTGTTATCTGAATGAATTCTAAATTATTTTACAATAGGAATTACTATATAACGAGCCAGAACTGTCAGTGAGCTTGAGAAATGTAATTCCCTGAAGAATTTAGTCCTGAGTATGACGATAAACTACATCCGGCAGCAAGGCCTCTGATCGACAGATTCGAGGTTTTGAGGAGTGTAGAACCACCTCTTAAATGCTGTTGTTCTCAGATCCAACCTGACCCTAGATGTGTGAGGTAGACATAGAGATGGGGAAAATGAGAGATTGAGTGAGATAGAAAGAGAGATAGAGAGGGATATATATATATATATATATATATATATATATATATATATATATATATATATATATATATACAAACAAAAATAATAACGCATAGAATCAATCAGCAATATTAATGCTATTATTGGCGACATCCATCGTAAGTAGTGTATAATGTATGCATTAAAATACTGTTAATCCATAGAATGATGTGATCCTCATTTATAAAACTGTTGTCAGTTGTTTCCAGTTTATATTTTTTTAAAATGCAAGTACTTTCGAATAATCCTTTATTCATCGTCAGGCATATCTTTTCCTTATAAAATCAAAACTTGGAGACGAAATATACACTACATTATACACTACTAGCGATGGATGTCGCCAATAATAGCATTAATATTGCTGATTGATTCTATGCGTGATTATTTCTTTGTATATAAATTATATGCTGCCTAATGTTTTATGTTTTATATATATATATATATATATATATATATATATATATATATATATATATATATATATAATTATAGATAACTAGACTCGTTTCGAAAAACCCTCAATTTTTGATTTGCTAATAATCAAATCAATCTCGAGGGAAAAAAAGGTTTTAAAAAAGAAAGAGCTACAAACTTCTGCCGACAAAAAAAATCGCACAGATGCAGGTCTGAAGCCCAAAGAAAAAAACCCGATACGAGTAAACAACTAACTAACAAAAGTGCTCAATACAACCGTAGTGCAGACCTAGATACACCTAGTGAGCCAGACAACAAACCTACCTAGGTTTCACCTAAACGGATCGTCAGGGAAAGTAAGCCTTACTTTCCCTGACGATCCGTTTAGTGAAACCTAAAGGTTTGTCTGGCTCATATATATATATATATATATATATATATATATATATATATATATAGAGAGAGAGAGAGAGAGAGAGAGCTATAGAGAGAATGTGACATAGATAGATAGATAGATAGATAGATAGATAGATAGAGATAGATAGATAGATAGATAGATAGATGGAGTGAGAGATAGAGAGAAAAACAAAAAGTGAAAGATAATACTAATACATGTCTGTATAGTGAAACTCAATGTGATACAATATGAGGGCGGGAAAAAATGATGGCGATACACATTTAGCGCCAACCTCCTTTGAAGGCACTATTCTACTGTTGTTCTTTATTAATCTTTTTTTTTCGAGTTCTGGTACGATAGCTTTCTATAAATAAATAAATAAAAAATTAAATTTGTTTAAAAGCTAAAATGATCTAAAAAAGATGCTATCAAAGCTAGCGTTGCCCCAAATTTAAATCGATAACAATGGCGGACATGTTGAAAGCAAGTTCGCAATAAAAATAATTCGCTTTTTGTAGTCAATGGAGAAAAATGCATTTGTTATTTAAAGAAATCCAATTGTTTTTCAAACGTAATGCATTGGTCTATTAAATAAAGTTACAAGCCGTAGCTATACATTATGATTTCATCAAACTTAGCGCGACAAAACAGTTCTGTTGGTGTCCTATATTCAAAGGTCAACTGTTCAAATACAATGATGTTGAATCTGAAATATTTTTTATGTCCTCAGTAAAATAAATTTTAAATCCTTTTACGAACAGATTTATTTTTTCTAATACTTTACAAAACGTATTTGCCGGGCGTACACACATGCATACATAATATAATTTTCTTTTGTTATATATATATATATATATATATATATGAGGAAAGCAAGTAAGAGGAAGGGAGTTCCACTGGCGGGAAGTGCGAGAGAAGAAGCTGTTGAAGTAGAAGAGGCGGTTACATTTAACTGTTTTGACAGTAAAAGGGTGGGACCAAGATGCCAACCTAGTAGCACGCTTAAATTCCTGCACTTGGGGCACCAGTGAAAAGAGCTCGTCAGAGCAGTTGCCTTGAAAATATTTTTAGTAACAGCAGAGGGGAAGCCACATCACGTCTGTGAGAAAGTGACTGTAGTCGAGATGCCAGATCAGGACCTATCACATTGCATATCCATCTTTGTATTTTGTCGAGAACCTCGAGATGAACAGCTGGGGCACCAGACCATATTTGGCAACCGTATTCAATTCCCAGACGATTGGTAGATTTGTAGATTTGAAGGATGGATTCAGACGAGAAAAACCTTCTGGCGCGGCACAGAGAACCAAATTTCCTTGCGGTAGAGGAAGCTATTGATTCAATCCTAAAAAAAAAAAAAGCGTGAGTCCATATTTATTTATGTATTTCATTTATCCAATTGAGAAATTCGGTTCAGCCGATTGCTTTTATACCTGTTTAAAACGCGAAACGGAAGTGCATACTAAACAAATCTCATAAAAGAAGAGTAAAACCATGAAAAGACGTGAAGGTTTTTCTCTAAACCATACCCATTTTCTGTCTATGGTTTTAATTATGTCCGTAACAAAACTCTTTAAGCAAATAAACAAATAAAAAAATGCTAACACTTCAATCTGGGCATCGCACGCCGATACATCTCTAGTGATATATGTGAAAATTAAAAGTCTCTATTTGTCCGGTCTCGCTACCCGCGAGAGTTAGCTGCGAGATGCAATCCACAGCTCATCTTATAATCGGATTACAACACCGGATTCGAGCCAATGTGATTACTCAGTGCGTGTCATATCTGGCTCCTTGTCGTCGCACTGAGGCCAGCCAGCAAAGTGACTTAATCTTTTTTTCTGTGGATCAACGACTTTTTCACTTACGAATGACTGTGTTGCTGCGGATGGCTCACGTTGCTAGGAATAAACCAAAGTAGAAAAAAAAAGACTAATAACCGTCATTTTTTCAGACATATTTTTACTTCGTTTTATTTTGTTTGGCTATCGTTTCAAGCGTGACTCACACGGGTGGATATTGATTTAAAATCTCGTTGACACGTTTAAAATCGCTTTAATAAGTTTAAAATCTCTTTGATCAGTTTAAAATTTTGTTAACAAGTTTAAAATCTCTTTGATATGTTTAAAATCTCTTTGATGAGTCTAAAATTTCGTTAACAAGATTAAAATTTTGTTAACAAGATTAAAATTTCGTTGACAAGTTTAAAAATCTCTTTGATAAGTTTAAAATCTCATTGACAAGTTTAAAATCTCGTTGACGGTTTTTAGGGTTATAATAATCGGTGTCAGTGGTTGATTTTCAATCCCAGGTAAAAGTCTGTATTTCGAACGATGATTTTCAAATTATAAATCTTGCCTATCTTTTGTTGGGGCAGTATTTTTTTTTTCATATTTTAACAAGGCATCATAATTACACTCATATCTTTGTGTCTAATATTGACATCGAAACCGTGTAAATTTAATTACGTAATAAATTATCATATTCTGAATAAATTATCATATTCTGAATAAATTATCATATGCTGAATACTAATGAAGGAAACCTGGTTAGCGTAAAACAATGGCCAGCTCGTTACTCTCACGTAATATTTTAAAAAAACTATGTTCAAATGACTAAAGCCTACATTTCTCTTTGAAACTTCAATCTAAGTCGCAATGGCGAGTGAAACTAGTAGAGTATCCATTGTTCTATTGTAGATATTCCAAGCATAAAGAAATTGATTGGTTGATTTTACGGCTTATCAACCTTTTTGAAGGGTGGGTAGATGTCGATTCATACATCTCCCAAGGAAATTTGCAGGTAAGTGAATATAACGAACCCAACTGGAATTGGAACTCGGCTCTCCGATTTCCAATTCCGAGCCGTTATCCATTACACCACACGCACATCCAAACTGACACCACCTGATATCCCCAAGCTGTCACCCATCTAGGTATTGACTAGACTCAATGTTGCTTAACTTCGGTGGATGTACGAGAACCGGTGTTTCCACATGATATGACTATAAACCTGGATAAAGAGAAGGCTATAATAAGTCTACCATTCATTCATAGCATGGATATTGCTGCCAGATATGGTATGGGGTCCCTGCTGTATACTTAAATATTCTTGATAAAATCCAAAGAAGAATCTGCAATGATATTGGTCATGGCCTGGTTTCTCGGCTTCAGTCACTTTCCCGCTATCGTTATGTAACTTCCCTTTTTCTTTTTTTCTTTTTTTTAATAAATAATTACATGATAATTGTTCTAATAGACTTCGCTCTATGGTGCCTAGACTTACTGAATTTAAGCGTACAACTAGATTTGGGGCAAGGAAATGGCTAGATGTAACCGTAAGTTCTATGCTAACAGTTTCTTCTATCGCACTTCTCGCTTGTGGAACCCTCTTCAAGCCTCTTCCTTTCCAGTCAAGTTTAAGTGCAGTACAAGACTGGCAGCGAAGGTCTCCTCATTTTACGGTTTAAATGGCTAGATATAACCGTAAGTTCTATGCTAACAGTTTCTTCTATCGCACTTCTCGCTTGTGGAACCCTCTTCAAGCTTCTTCCTTTCCAGTCAAGTTTAAGTGCAGTACAAGACTGGCAGCAAGGTCTCCTCATTTTACGGTTTAAATGGCTAGATATAACCGTAAGATCTATGCTAACATTTTCTTCTATTGTACTTCCCGTTTGTAGAGGTTACTCTCGAATTTTTGCTTCTCAGTCAATTTTGATTTTCAAAATTCTAAATGCAATGTCACTTGTTACCTTTTTAATTCTTGTTCCTTTATTGTTCTCCCTCCTTAATAAAGTTTCTTTCTCACATTTTCTGACACTCAGTAAACTGGCTATATTTCTGAGATGAGGTATTATGTACATTATTTACATTATTCGGACTATTGTCCTCGTCTTTGTCGCCATATTTATTACACATTGCACAGTGGATAAAGGCGCTGGTTAGATCCAGTGACAAGACCCAAAGTGTGTGAGTTCATTACCCGGTTAAAGCAGTGGAGAACTTTCAGGGTGAAATTAACAGGAGATAACTGATAACAGATATCCATTAAACATGGCACGTGGAACTAGAACAGTCTACCCCAGTGAGAGAAATAAAGGGGTAAGTTTGATATTCCAACAATCGGAAGAAGGCTGGAGCGTACAACGGCCGAAACGTTGTAATAAATATGGCGACAATGATGAGGACAATAGTTCGAATAATGTAAATAATGTACTCAGTAAACCCTTGCGTTTTAGTGGCGTTATTTACCTTACTTAGGGCGAAATGATTAAAACATAGGATTTTCTCACAGTCTTGTTAGTGTGTCCAATTCTGACTGGATCTTCTACTGATTTTAGTCTTTTATTTAATCATTTCATTCGAAGCAACCCTTTCTACTTGCGCACTTATAAATCTAACATTTGGCCGTGTAATGAATATTGCGGTCATATATCGTCTGGTGATCCTGGTATATATCACATGATTCTTGACAAAATCCAAAGTGTCTGTAATGTTATCAATCCTGACCTGACATCTCGGCTTCAGTCACTTTCCCACCGCCGTAAGGTAGTTTCCCTCTGTTTTTTTTTCTGTGACTATTTTCATGGCAATTGTTCTCATGAATTTCCTACTTGATAACTTGACCGCATGAATATAAGCATAGTACTAGATTGGCAATTAGGTCCCATCGTTTTACGGTTGAAATAGCTAGATTCAATCGTAAGCTCTATGTTAATAGTTTCTTTTCTTGCAACTCTCGCCTTTGGAACTCACTTCCGTCTTGTCTCTTCCCTGTCACCTACGACCTTCAAAATTTTAAATGCAACATGAATCTCCATCTTCTGAATCCTGATCGTTTATTGTCCTTTCCTCTAATAGACATTTCTATCATCTTCTTTCACTCTCACCAGTTCCTTGTGTCTTAGTGGAACAATCGACTTGCATGGTTGAAATGATAAAAAAAAAATATAGTCACACTATTTTTATTTACAGTGAGGTTCACCCCGTACAAAAGGGTTAAATTAAGAAGCAGGAGTGGAAGATAACGGTTAACTCTAGACTTGAACAGGTTAAGAGTATAGTAACTTATTTCAACCTCATGGAATACGGAGGGAATGTGGGTGATTTGCTACTATGTAAGTGGTATGAAGGGTCTTAAACGTAAATGATAGAACTGGAGGAACCAAGGAATGTAGTTAGTCTGAGCACTTTCCATGGAAGCAGCAATAGAGCAGTGAGAAGCTCACCATATTCTGTCTTTGAGAGAGTGGTTGGATAGTAGAAAATAATTCTTCTCCAAAAAGGACTCGGAGACGATTTTCAACTCTATCAAGACTGATATCCCGCCCCATTATGACAACAATACTTCATTCTCTGCTTGATCTGATGCTTGTAAAGTTAGGATGAGAAGTCAGATACTTACTGGAGTGGTACAAGGAGCCGACAATTTTTCCCGAATCTTTAGTGATGAATCGTATGTAGGAGTTCCATTTGTGGTCAGGTATGCGTTTAAGTCTGTCAAGAGGAAATCAGTCCATCTTGACTGGCGATGGATTGTATGAACGAGTTCCATTTGTGGTCAGGTGTGAGTTTAATCACTCGAAAGCAATCAGTTCATCGTGACTGGCGATAGATCGAATGTACGAGTTCCATTTGAGGTCAGGTGTGAGTTTAAGTCTCTCGAGAGGACATCAGTTCATCGTGATTGACAATAGTCCGATTGGCAATGATGGAATGTAACGAGATTCGTTTCCGAGGCATTGAATGTAACCAGCCAATCAGCGCCCCACACTCACTGAGAAGTACTAACTAGATCGAATGAGAAATCAACTGCCAATATCTGACCATCAACATGTGCACCCGTATATCGTACCATCGGCGTAGATATTCACAAATGATCTGAGTATATTCTTAGGCAGTTCATTTTGTAAATGTCCGACAAGTGAACCATGGGTGACGCCTGCGTTGACCGCCAAGTCCCCGGAAGATTGGCTGTACCTTCAGGGAGCTACCTGTTAAGAAGGACTATAATTGAGGCACTTACAGCGATTCCATAGCTGGAAAGCTTGAGTAGCAAACATTTGTCCCATACCTTGCCAAAGGCCTTCGAAATATCTAAAGCTATTGTCCTCGATCTGTTCTTGTCGTCAAACTGTGAGAAATCGTGGTTTGGACATCAACAATAGATTGTGCTGAACGAAATCCATACTCTATCAAGACTAGAAAGTGGGGTCTCGACAACACCTACCCAAATATGGCAAGTACTCTATTTTCGGATTCATCTGGCTTTTATAAAGGTAGAGCATAGCATGATGAATCAGGTACAAGGAGACAATCATTTTACCTGATTCTTTAGCAATGTATCATATATAGGAATTCCACTTGAGATCAGATGTGAGTTTGAGGCCCAATAACCTCTCAAGTTACGGGGCCTAGTCGAGGGGACATCCGTTCATCATGACTGTCGGTAGTTCCGGGTCTGATCGGCGGTTATGGAATCTAACCAGGTTGGTTTTAGAGGCATTGAATGCAATAACCCAGTTTAATCCTCAACACTAGAAAGTGAGATCTCGAAAACACCTACCCAAATATGGCAACAACACTCCATTTTCGGACTGATCTTGCTTTTATAAAGGTAGAGGATTGCATGATGAGTCAGGTACAAGGAAGCAATCATTTTACCTGAATCTTTAGCGATATACCGTATTCCACTTGAGATCAGGTGTGAGTTTGAGGCCTAATAACCTCTCGAGGTACTGGGCCTACTCGAGGGGAAATCTGTTTATCGTGGCTGGCGGTAGTTCCGGGTCTGATCGGCGGCATTGGAATAGAGGCATTGAATGTAAGCAGCCCATTTTTTTCCTCACTGGGAAGTTAGTGTTAGATCGGAGGATAGGTCAGCTGATAAACTCTGATCGTCAAGACTTTTCGAGGTGCATCCCTATATCGTCAGCATGAGGAGTCAGGTACAAGGAGGCAATCATTTTACCTGAATCTTTAGCGATGTGTCGTATATAAGATTTCCACTTGAGATCAGGTGTGAGTTTGAAGCCCAATAACCTCTCGAGGTACGCGGCCTACACGAGAGGACGTCCGTTCATCGTGTCTGGCGGTAGTTCGAGGTCTGATCGGCGGTGATGGAATCTGACCAGTTTGCTTTTAGAAGCATTGAATGCAATAAACCAGTTTTTATCCTCACTGGGAAGTTAGTGTTAGATCGGAGGATAGGTCAGCTGATAAACTCTGATCGTCAAGACCTTTCGAGGTGCATCCCTATATCGTCAGCATAGATATTTGTAAATTATCGGAGTATATTCTTAGGTAGCTCTTTTATGTAAATCATAAGAGTATTGGTCCGAGAAGTGAACCCTGGGAGACGCCTACGTTGACCACCAGAGCCTCGGAGGACTGGCCGTTAATAACTACCTTCAGGGATCTACCTGGTAGGAAGGAATTTATTCTAGTGATTCCATAAGCGGGGAGCTTCAGTTGCAAACATTTATGGCATATGTTGTCAAAGGTCTTTGAAATATCTAATGCCATAATCCTCGATTGTGTGCTTGTCAAGAGCCTCACTAATTCTGTGAGACATCGTAGTTAAGGTCATCAGCAAAGGATTAAACAGAAGTATTATGTCAGCTATTGTTTTGTTTTTGTTTTTACGTGTTCCCTTTAATTAAAAAAAATGGCAGATACATAACGGAAAATAAGAATTACCACAAAATTGTAGCTAAAGGTTGAAGAAAAACAACAGAATGAGGTGTCGTTAGTTGGGTCCTTAAATTGTTAGTGGCTTTTGGGTTGGGTCCTTAAATTGTTTGCGGCTTTTGGGTTGGGTCCTTAAATTGTTAGCGGCTTTTGGGTTGGGTCCTTAAATTGTTAGTGGCTTTTGGGTTGGGTCCTTAAATTGTTTGCGGCTTTGGGCTTAAATTGTTTGGGCTTTTGGGTTGGGTCCTTAAATTGTTAGTGGCTTTTTGGGTTGGGTCCTTAAATTGTTTGCGGCTTTTGGGTTGGGTCCTTAAATTGTTAGTGGCTTTTGGGTTGGGTCCTTAAATTGTTAGTGGCTTTTGGGTTGGGTCCTTAAATTGTTTGCGGCTTTTGGGTTGGGTCCTTAAATTGTTAGTGGCTTTTGGGTTGGGTCCTTAAATTGTTTTGCTTTTGGGTTGGGTCCTGCGGCTTTTGGGTTGGGTCCTTAAATTGTTTGCGGCTTTTGGGTTGGGTCCTTAAATTGTTTGCGGCTTTTGGGTTGGGTCCTTAAATTGTTAGTGGCTTTTGGGTTGGGTCCTTAAATTGTTAGCGGCTTTTGGGTTGGGTCCTTAAATTGTTTGCGGCTTTTTGGGTCCTTAAATTGTTTGGGTTGGGTCCTTAAATTGTTAGTGGCTTTTGGTTGGGTCCTTAAATTGTTAGGGCTTTTGGGTTGGGTCCTTAAATTGTTTGCGGCTTTTGGGTTGGGTCCTTAAATTGTTTGCGGCTTTTTAGGTTGGGTCCTTAAATTGTTAGTGGCTTTTGGGTTGGGTTAAATTGTTTGCGGCTTTTAGTTTGGGTCCTTAAATTGTTTGCGGCTTTTGGGTTGGGTCCTTAAATTGTTTGGGCTTTTGGGTTGGGTCCTTAAATTGTTAGTGGCTTTTGGGCTGGGTCCTTAAATTGTTAGCGGCTTTTGGGTTGGGTCCTTAAATTGTTTGCGGCTTTTGGGTTGGGTCCTTAAATTGTTTGCGGCTTTTGGGTTGGGTCCTTAAATTGTTAGTGGCTTTTGGGTTTAAATTGTTAGAAGGGCTTTTGGGTTGGGTCCTTAAATTGTTTGCGGCTTTTTTGGGTCCTTAAATTGTTAGTGGCTTTTGGGTTGGGTCCTTAAATTGTTAGTGGCTTTTGGTTGGGTCCTTAAATTGTTTGCAGCTTTTAGCTTTTGGGTCCTTAAATTGTTAGTGGCTTTTAGGTTGGGTCCTTAAATTGTTTGCAGCTTTTGGGTTGGGTCCTTAAATTGTTTGCGGCTTTTAGGTTGGGTCCTTAAATTGTTAGTGGCTTTTGGGTTTGGGTCCTTAAATTGTTAGCGGCTTTTGGGTTGGGTCCTTAAATTGTTTGGCTTTTTTGGGTCCTTAAATTGTTAGTGGCTTTTAGGTTGGGTCCTTAAATTGTTAGCGGCTTTTTGGGTTGGGTCCTTAAATTGTTTGCGGCTTTTTGGGTTGGGTCCTTAAATTGTTAGTGGCTTTTAGGTTGGGTCCTTAAATTGTTTGCTTTTGGTTTGGGTCCTTAAATTAAGCGGCTTTGGGTTGGGTCCTTAAATTGTTAGCGGCTTTTGGGTTGGGTCCTTAAATTGTTAGCGGCTTTTGGGTTGGGTCCTTAAATTGTTAGTGGCTTTTGGGTTAGGTCCTTAAATTGTTAGCGGCTTTTGGGTTGGGTCCTTAAATTGTTAGTGGCTTTTGGGTTGGGTCCTTAAATTGTTAGTGTTTTTTGGGTTGGGCCTTTAAATTGTTAGCGGCTTTTGGGTTAGGTCCTTAAATTGTTAGTGACTTCTGGATTTTCTTTCTACGGTTCATTTTAAAATAATGCGTGGGGAATAGAACACTTCACAGTCGTTCATTTCACTCTTTTTTCATTAAAAGTCAGCCGATATAAGTTTGAAGAGCTACTCATGGTAGAAACTTGAGATGAAATAGTAATGATGAATGATTCGATTGAAATTAGTGGGAAAGAAGATGGTAGAACGTGGTGATTCTGAGGATAAGGAAGATAATAATTGGCGTTTGACATGAACAGGTCAATATAATAGCATTTAAGGAAGCATCCACGAAGGTGTCTGTGCCACAATGTTGCCGTTCTTGGGCAAAAAGATGTCAAACTGGAATTTTAAATTTAGAACATGGAAGAAATAAGAGGCATTCGACTCGGTGGAAGAAGCATGTCGTGTCCAAGCTGTAAATGTTTGAACTGACAAATCTGAAGACTGGAGCTCAGCTGAACATTTGTCATTTAAGTAACAGCAACAGCGTAGCGATAGGCTTTCCAACGTTGCGTTTATTGAAAATAAAATACAATGTGCGCGTGTACTTAATCGTGATGAATTTGTTTGTTGTTATTTTTTTTCCTGAAAGATTTTCCTCGCTTTCCAAAAGTTCCCGATGAAAGTCATCTGACAGAGGTCGGATTACGATTTGGAATGACGTAGCTTTGGCAACAGTGGTAAACTTCCAGGAAAATGTTAATCAGTCATATTGATTTTTTCTCCTAAGCCTTTAATATAAGTTAATCATTCGTTTACTGCAGAACAAGATTTATTTCACCACTATTGGAAAACTGCCCCTGACTTTTTGGAAAATGTGTACAGATGGATTTGATGACGCAAATTCTGAATAACATCTATCTATCTATCTATCTATCTATCTATCTATCTATCTATCTGTCCGAGTCTGTTCATATCAGTCTATCCTAATCTATCTATCTATCTATCTATCTATCTATCTATCTGTCCAAGTCAGTTCCTATCTGTCTATCCTAATCTATCTATCTATCTATCTATCTATCTATCTATCTATCTATCTATCTATCTATCTGTATGTTCGCGTCTATCTTTACCACTCTCTCTATATGTATCTATCTGTATAACTATCTATACCTCATTCTTTATACATATGTATCTATCTGTATATTTTTTCATATCTATCTATCTATCTATCTATCTATCTATCTATCTATCTATCTATCTATCTATCTATCTGTTTGTTCGTATTTATCTTTACCACACTCTATATATGTATCTATCTGTATATCAGTTTATATCTATCTATACCTCATTTTATCTCTCTCTCTCTCTCTCTCTCTCTCTCTCTCTCTCTCTCTATCTATCTATCTATCTATTTGAACGTATATGTGTATGTGGGTTATCTTCTGTCTTCTTAATTACTGTTCTTTTATTGTTCTCTCTCCTTAATAATGTTTTCTTTTCCTTATATTCTCGAACTCTGATTAAACCCCTTTGCGTCTTAGTGACTTTATTACCTTGCTTGGATAGAAATGTTTTAAAAATGTACATAGTTATATGTATTTTCTTTTCCTCTAAGTTTCTACTAATCACACATTATTGTTTCCCTCAATTCCTTTTCTGTCCTTCTCTCATTTTCATATCTCATAATGCTCCCTCTCATTCTCTCTCTATCATTTCTCTTCTGTCTCTCTGTTTCTCTCTGTTATTTCACTCGTTTTCCTTGTTCTTTTCTTCACCTCAACTTTCTTCCTAACTATCCCTTCCTCTCTGTTTATCTCACTTACTCCTACTTTATCTATAACCTTAGGTGTCTTTTCTCTTTCTCTCATTCTCTCTCTCTCTCTCTGTCTGTCGGTATACATTTCCCTCTCTTATATTTCCTTCTTCCTGCATTTTTCATCTTTCTCAGTTTTACTTTTTTTTCCTTTACGTCACTTTAAGAATTCTATATTCACTGACGTTCTTTCTTTCTTTCTTTCTTTCTTTCTTTCTTGCTTGCTTCTTTTTCCAGATTATTTTTCTTTCTTATTTCATTCTCCATCTTTCTTTCTTTCTTTCTTTCTTTCTTTCTTTCTTTCTTTCTTTCTTTCTTTCTTGCTTCTTTTTCCAGATTATTTTTCTTTCTTTCTTGATTATTTTCCCAGATTTTTTCTTTCTTCTTTCCTTCTCCATCTTTCTTTCTTTCTTTCTTTCTTTCTTTCTTTCTTTCTTTTCTTTCTTTCTTTCTTTCTTGCTTCTTTTTCCAGATTATTTTTCTTTCTTTCTTGATTATTTTCCCAGATTTTTTCTTTCTTCTTTCCTTCTCCATCTTTCTTTCTTTCTTTCTTTCTTTCTTTCTTTCTTTCTTTCTTACTGCCTCCCATGTTTTTTCTCTCACTGTTTTATCCACTTACCTTTCAATAATTTTCCTTCTTTGTCTCTGTTAATTTTCTTTCTTTGTGTACCCTGTATATTTTGTATTTCTTCATAGTCATCCATTTTCTGTCTTTCGTTCTCACAATTGTTTCTTCTCCATCCATTTTTCGATTTGGCTTTTTATATCTTGAATTTTTTATCTGGCTTTTCATATCTGAAAAAAAAAATCACTGTAGAAATATGAGCTTGAGCCGAAATTTGCATCGATAAAAATGGTAGATATATTGAAGGCTACACACCATAAAAAACAAGAGGCAATGGCGAAACATGCCTTCTTTATTTAAATAAATCCGTTGTTTTGCCAGTATAATGCATTCGGCTGTTAAATAAGGTTACAATCAGTAACGACATACTATGTTTTCATTAACACGATTCCGACTACAATTTGTTGTTTTTATTGGGCCTTATTCAAAAATGAACATGGAACAAAACGACTGTAAATTTGAAATACTTTCAGGTGCTTATAAAAAAAACCTATGCTATGTTGAATAAAACGCACTATTTTAAAGTATTTTTATTAGTCATAAAAATTCAATATATATATATATATATATATATATATATATATATATATATGAATAAAAAAATATACTGAAAAAACAAACAAAAATCCTACTATGCGATTATGCTGTTTTAATGTTTAATGTCAACGTCGGACGTTTCGGTCTAATAGACCATCTTCAGGACATATTCATAAAACATAAAAGATGAATCGAAGATGGTCTATTAGACCGAAACGTCCGACATTGACATTAAACATTAAAACAGCATAAATCATATTAAGATTTTGTTTGTTTTTCAGTATTTTTTTTTCATACTGTCGGACCTATATCCATATATATATATATATATATATATATATATATATATATATATATATATATATATATATATATATATATATATATATATATATATATATGGGGTGTCCATAAAGTTGGTGTGCACTTTAAAAATTTATAACTTTATTTGTATTTGCGATAGAAATAATTTGTAAAAAGGATTAGAAAGAACTAAAAATATATTTTTAAAGGTTTTATTGAAATCTTATTTAAGTTTACACATGTCGTCCATCATTAGCAATACAACGGGTAATACGATTTTGCAGTTCACGGAAAACATTTGCCAACTGATTTACAGTAATGCCTGAAATCACATTAGTTATTTTAGCTAAACTTAAAACTAGGTACATTAAACTTTGTAACATTTTTTGCAAATAATTTCTATCGCAAATACAAATAAAGTTAATTTTTTTAAAGTCACACGAACTTTATGGACACCCTGTATATTGAGACATTGTTTTATGTTTATACGTTCTTTTTTAAAGATACAAATATTTAAGTCAATGCTCTGTTTCATAACAACATATAAGGACGCATATTTCTCGGACATTCAGACCGGTAAATGTCGTTAATACTGTTTATCATATATATATATATATATATATATTATTCCTTCTCCGCACTGGTAGTACAACTCGGAGATTCATGCACAACGCAATCTTCAGGTGCTGAGTAGAGAATATGCTGACGATTGCGTTTTGCATGAGACACTAAGACGAATTTTTTTTGTAATCGTTCGGTCCATTCGTCAGGAGATGTGTGCAATTGACTACGGATTTCCTCATTTTATTTATTATCATATTATGTTAAAAAATAATTTATATGCGATTTTTATTTAGGTTTTTTCTTTGTGTGTGTGTGTGTGCGTGTGCATGTGTATATCTTTATGTGTGAGTATGTGTACAAGCGTTGGATGTCAGTTTATTTCTTCCTAGCATAATTTTCCTTTACTTTCTTTTTTCTCTCTTTCGGCTCTGAGTGTAAAAGATAATATAAAAATGACATTTCCGATATATATATAGTCGTCGACTCTCCCGTCGAGGGTCAAGCAGATCAGTTCCCAGGAAACGGCACATGAGATTTGATTATAGTGGTGAAGGTTTCGTGCAGGACCATCCACACTTTTTGAAGGGCCGAATTCAGAGACCTGGTGCCACAAGGTCCCCAACGACACTCCGCAGGTTTTGAATTCAGAGTTGTCCTTCTCCTAGACCAGTTGCCATCCAAGCCTATTTACCCATAGCTGGAGGGAAAAGAAGAGTATTCCCACCTTTCTAAGCACATGTAATGGATTCGACTGGAATCCTCAATCCAAGCCGCTATCCATGACTCTACCGTGCCTCCTCTATGTATATAGGTATTCGTTTTTATTCATTATGACAATCTCATCTTCTTCTCCGCGTTCCTTAGTGCTTTTAAGTATCACTGTGGCAATGTTTTTCCTTTTTTTGGGGGGGTGTTAAAATGATTTTTCGTTGTTTGTTTCTATAGTGGCAGTGTTTATTCTTTGAATGAAGTCGTTGGTGAATTCTATGTCATTTTGTTTATGATTTTGGACTATTTGTAAATGAGATCTAGTCGACACAATAGTCAAAAATCATTGACAAAATAAAACAGAATTCACCAATGGCTTTTTTCAATATAGATATCAATGACGAAAGGACATTATCACAGAGACACTTAAACGCATTAAGGAAAATTAACAAAATATATAGAAATCTACATTACACCGAATGACACGGGAGGCAGAATTGTTATAATAAAAAAAGAATCATGCAATGAATAATAATAATAATAATAATAATATATATATATATATATATATATATATATATATATATATATATATATATATATAATTGAATTAAATCTTACTTATGTTTATTCTTCAAGAAATAATGTAAAATTATATTTTATTAAATTATATTCACCATTATTTGCAATTATTTATTGTTACTTATATGGCAGCACTTCTGTAGCTTTTGATGTACCATGCACGTTATTATTATTATTATTATTATTATTATTGCTATTATTATTATTATTATTATTATTACTATTATTATCATTATTACTATTGTTATTATTATTATTATTATTATTATTATTATTATAATCATCATTATTATTATTGTTTTATTTCCTTTGGTTTCTGGTGTATACTCATATCTTTCCGGGTCCCGTCCAGAGATATAAGGTCAGAAATGGCATCATCAACAATTAAAAAAACATACAAAAAAAACACGTATTATACATAGATAAAGCCCTTCTTAAAGTATTGTCTGTTCTCGCGAGAATAATTTTTTTGTATTTAATTGAGTTTATAGGAAACAGAATCGATTTCTGCTATGGTGACACTACCTACCAAGTCTAAGGCAGGTAGTGATGTGTTGTTATGGCTACATTCCATGACTTGTTTTTATAACTCCTATAAAATCACAAGCGCTACATGGAAAAAAAATTCTTCTTGGTGTGTGGGCTGTTCTTATCAAGGCAATTTGATGAATTTAGCTAGGATTTCCAGGGAATTTTTTCAATGTGTTGTTGTGTTTCTTTTTTTATCATTCCAAGTACACTTAATATGACTGTTACTATTCTTGTTTTCAATTTCCACATTTTTTCTATTTCGATTTCCATGTCTTTTTACTTCGATTGTTTTTCAAATTCCTTATTTGCTATTTTACAGTCCGCTGGGCAACCATATCTATTAGTAAGCAATTTTTTCTTTTCTGTTTTTGACAATTATGTCCGGCCTATTTGCTTCAATCTTTCTGTCTGTAAAGATGGTGTAATGCCATAGAATTGTAATGACTTCTATTTCTGTAACTGATGCTGAGTGATGTAGTGTTTATTAACATCTTTTCCAAAGTGTTTCCACATTGTAAATATTTCCCCACTCTATTGTGACGATTCTTATATTCATTTGGGGGGAAAGTACAGAACATCCAAGGATTAAATGGTATATGGTTTCCTGATATATGTCCCAGAGACTGAATTTTGGGTCCACACTATTATGTAGGATGTTTGCCTGAAAGTTCCTACTGAAAAGACTCAGGTCTTGCGCTGCAAGAATAAATCCTTCTGTTTCAGCCTTTAAATTTCATGCTCATAATCATCGATGAGTGTTAACTTTATCAATATCGGCTTTATTAGCACCTGCTGAATATTGGCCATGCAGAAGTTTGTTTTACCAGCGTTGTTTCAAGATCTTTATCATTGGCTTTCTTTTTCTTATTGTTTTCTGCAACAGTTGGTTCTAGGGTTCTGTTTTGGTCTTCTACTGAACCTACTAAAAATAAATTTCGTTTGTATTAACAACCTTCTTTCATGATTAAATATTCATTATTATTATTATTATTATTATTATTATTATTATTATTATTATTTCCTTTGATTTCTGATGTGTACTCATTTCTTTCCGGCTCCCGCCCAGGGACCTAATGTTAGAAATGGCATCATGACATTTTCCACTGGAAAAAAAAAACTACATGGACAAAGCCCTTCGTAAGATGTGGGCTGTACTCGGGAGAACAATTTATTTGTATTTCTGTAAGGCATGGTCTACCATGGATTCCTTAATTGAGACTATAGGAAACTTTTCGAATCAATCCGAGTATTCCAACTACAACTGGAATTGTTGATGTCCTCAAGTGCCACATTTTAGGGATTTCGATTTTAAGCTCCTTGTATATTGATAGTTTTTTGAAGACCTTCAAACATATATTTGCATTGGCTGCCATATCAATAATCATCGTGATAATAAGGGAACCATCGATGAGTGTTAACTTTATCAACATCGGCTTTATTAGCACCTGCTGAATATTGGACATGCAGAGGTGTGTCTTACCAGCGTTGTTTCATCTATTCAAGAATAGATGGCTTTCTTTTTTTCATAATTTTTACTGCAACATTTGGTTCTTGAGATCTGTTTTGGTGTTCTACAGAATCTACTAAAGTTAAATCTCGTTTGTATTTACAACCTTTCATGATTAAATATTTTTTCTTTCTGTTTTCGTGTTGTTTGACTAATTGTATCATCTAGTTCTTTGTTGTTTCCATGTATGTTAGTAAGCCAATAGTTGTTGTCTTGTATGACAATTGTGGCT